AACTGAGGTAAGGCAGTGGAGTGCTTAAGAGTCTGGGCTCTGGAGTCAGAGTGTCTCGACTTGAATTCTGGCTTGCACTTAGTAGCTCTGTGACTTCGGGCAATTTATGTTAAGTTTCCTACCTCAATTTCTCCCCTCCATAAAATGAAAATAATAATAGTACCTAGCTCATAGATACTTGGAGAAGGAAATGGCAACCCACTCCAGTATTCTTGCCTAGAGAATTCCATGAACAGAGGAGCCTGGTGGGCTATAGTCCATGGGGTCATAAAGAGACACGACTGAGTGACTAACACTCTCATTCTTTCATAGATACTCACTATGCAGCCCAAAATGTCGATAGTGGGGGAAGAAAGGAAATAGGTTTCACTGGAGGAATGTATTAAGAGGAATGGAATTTCTTTAAGTGCCACTTTTTGTTTTCCCCTCTTGACAAACTAATCTGAACATTAAATGTAAAATATGCCTTTTGCTAACTCACTTTTGCTAACAACACAGGTCAAAATCAGCTAACTCTTTTGAAAGTTATCATTCTTCAAATAGAATAAAGCACAAAGTTGAACCACAGAACTGACCACCCATGTTTTTGTTCACCAACATATTCTTTGCTCCTTTCATTCCCATTAATCCACGGTGATGGATAGGGTTCAAAAATCTGTCTGAGCTCACAACTCTGGGCCAGTCCTGACCTCTTGCTGCCATCTTACAGAAATAGCTTCTCCAATGGCCTCGAACCCTGTGGTCCTAGTTACATGAATGGTAGCTTCCATTTTGATTAAAATTCTTTAGCCACAGTCATATTTCCTTTCGTCTTTGTGGTGAACCCTGTGAAATAAATGAATGCGTCAGCACACACAAGACCAGGGAGATGGGACTCTGACAATTGTAAGCTATTCACAAAGTTTTTCCATAATTGTGAATTCAGAGCACAGTTTTGATGCCCAGAAACAAATGGTTTGCAAAAAAAAACTCATCTTAGCACTCTTTTTCCCAAAAGGTTGATGATAACTATTGCTTTGTTAAACTTTATGAATTACATTTCAAAAGAGAAAATACCATGCTAATCCACTTTCTATTGATGACAGCAAGATTAACTGTTGCCTCAAACTCATGTCCCTCCCACAATGACTAACAAAGTATTTGTATGTGTTGCCCAGGGATGCACCCGCTCATTATAAAGACCCATGTTGCAAATACCAATCTGGAAACCTTCTATTGGCTTCTAGAACAAATACAAATAAGCAGATTATGTCGTTTATCCCCTCTTTGTATCTGTAGTTAGATGTATGGAATAGAATGTGATGACACAGATTTTAAGGAAATAGTAGCAGACAGAAATTTTGCTGCTGAGGAAAATACTTGTTTTTAAGAAATACCAGCACCAATAAAAAGATCTTCCAGGGGTTTGGAGTGGGGCAGAATGGGGACTCATGATTTACTGGGTACAAGGTTTTATTTGGGGTTGATGAACATTTTTTTGTTGGTTGGTTTGATTTGGGTCGCATTTTCTGGGTTTTTTTTAAGTAGGTATTTTTGTATGATTGGATTAGGATTGAATTTTGTAGTGAAAATAAGTCAATTAAAAAAAGACTTAGCATCTTAACCATTTTAAAGTGTACAGTTCAGGTGTACTAAGTACATTTACGTCATTGTGTGGCCATCATCACGGTCTTCAGTGAACCCAGCATTGTGAATGTACTAAATATCACTGAATTGTTCAAATATAAATGGTTAATTTTGTTATGTAAATTGCACCTCTACTTTTTAAAATGTATACATGTGGGTATTGAAATATTTTGAAATATAGTGGTTACATAACACATTCAACTTGGTGTTCACAGGGTTAACCTGCATCTCCATCACCATAAAATGCCTCCTTTGTGTTTGCATACTTAAGTATTTATACATATTACAATTTTCTCCTCCTTTTTGATAAAAGAGGATTTAAGTTAATAAAGGTAACCAAATTACCAGAAAATATAAGCCAAGAATATTAAAAATATGTCATTGAATTTTAAATTATTGGTGAACCTAACTACTGAGAATGAAAGCTGTATCCTGAATGTTTGTCAGTTCCAGTTCTTCAGCTCTATAATGAACAGCAGTAGGTCTCTCACTCACTGAGGCCAATATGATTTTTTTCCCCTACCTTGCATCTCTATTTCAGCTGAAAGAGAAAGAAAAATGTATGAAGTATGGTGACCTTTCTATTTATTGCATATCACTTCCCAGTCGCTTTAGACAACTGGCTTTTTGTCCAGGTGTCTTGTTTATCTCTTCCTGTGTTATGGCAATAACCCAACTATTCTGAAATCCTCGTCTGCAAAACCAGGTGGGAAACTTACACACCATTACTACTTGCCTCCAGAGCCCCTTCTGAAAAAGCCTTCAACAGAAACAGATAAATCTGCCCCTCCCCCCCTTTCCTTCCAAAGCCAACATAACTTATGGCAGCCAGATCAGACAAAAAATTCATTTACAGTTGTTTGGCTGAATCCCCCCTCCTTCCCCCAAAAGCCAATATATTTCCTGGGGTGTTTGGTATTTCCAGAGAGGTCCCTAAGTTGAGAGACAGAAGTAAATTGTTTTATATACCCGTAAGACTCAGAGTCAGAAAAGTAGAAAGAAGCAACTCGGCAGGCCAGTGCTAAGATCTTGGCCAGGGAAGATACAGACGTGCGCGCGCAGCCAGCCTCTAAAGCCCAGTGCCTCCCCTCAGGCTGTTTGTTTCTATTCCCTCTTTTCTGCCCGGGCTACAGGCGTTGGGGGAGGGGACCAGAGGCAAAGTTCGCAGGGTTTGCATGCTTTCCGCAGCAACCCCGGCGAAGAGGGCGGCCTTCCCTTCCCCTCCTCTTCCCTTCATCCCTGGAAGGGCCCCCTGCATCTCCCCACCCCTCCCCCCCCACAGCTGTATCCTCCACCCTCCCCCAAATCGGATTGATGCCACCGTCGAGTTAGTTCCTCGGACGAAGTCATCTTGCTCTCAAGGGTGAGCCCGCGCACGCGGGGGCACCGGGAGGGGTAGCGGGGGCGGTAACGACACCTCGCACCGAGCAAAAACGACGATTATCAGATTGTGTTTAATTTTTAATGAATCCTCAAGAGACAGAAGACCCTTTTCGTTTCCCTTGGACCCTCTCCTTTCCGGGGGCCTCTCTTGCCCGAGCGGACCGTCTCCACCTCCCCGGCCTCGCAGCTCGAAGGCAAGCCAGGAGTCCCCAGATAACTATTTAGTATAAACAAACCGTGAGTCTTTAATGGAATTACCTCAGCCTGCTAGTAAATAATTTATAGTAGGCAGTAAATAAAATATGGTTCTATGTCTTTAAAAGAGTTGTCAAGTGGAAAACACCCACCAGAGGGATGTAAACCCCGAAGATTGCCACGCTTAAAGACGCCGGCTGGGATGGGGAACCCGGGGAAAGACAACATGTTTTCCGACCCTGAACGAAGGCGTTGGTGCCGCGGGAGCCGGAGCTGGCGGCTCTGGGGGAAGGTTCCTGCAGGCAAAAGAGAAGAGACACGACGCCTTTTTCACTGAGCTGAGGGGCAAGTGATTAAAATGCAAAGGAAGGAGGCTGCACTTTCGGAATAATACCTTCCATTTGAAAGCCTGGTAGCTTGCAAATTCGTTATCACCCTCAATCCTCGCCACCACACTTCCAGAAAGACCAGGCGGGACCCTGATTCCCATTTTGCGGATGGGTTTAAAAAAAAAAAAGCTTGGAGGCTAACGGCCAGCCTCCAGGTCGGCCTGCTGGGGACTAGTAAGTGGATGAGGGAGTCCCAGGAGCAGTTGTTCTTCCCCGCGGTACCTCCAGGCTGGTACCCCCTGCGCCATCACACACACTCAGGCTACCCGCCCAGCTCACTTTCCGGTTTTTACCACACTTAAGCCTCTCTTCTGTTTTCGGTGACCTGAGGACCCTCCAAATAAATTTTCTGCCCCCTCCCCTTCTCCATATCACTCCCGTTGGAAGGCGCATCCTCAGTTCGGAGAGGAGGATAGATTTATGAGCGTCTCCTCAAGGTTACCCCCAAGACAACCTTGACCATGAAACCAGAATCTTGAACACTTGACCTAAATTTCCAAGGGCATCTGTTTCCGTCTGTAATTGTCACCAGGCTTCATTTGAAATTCGATCCTGTGTCACTAATGGTATTAACAGGAGCTGAGGTCCAACCTTCCAACGGGGAGACTGTTGCATATGATTTTACTTCCAAACGAAAGTAAATCAGCTTCTATAAACCTACAGCAACCCCCTCCCCGAGTACAATAAAACTGTTGTCGCAATCAATAAATCTCTGGTTTGGGGCAATGAAAATTAGATAACTGTTCTCTCTCTCTCTCTCCGTCTCTTCTCCTCCCCCCACCCCCATAAGACAAAGCCACTATTCAAAGAACGGGGCGTCTTGTTAACCATTTCTGAAGTCCCTCGCTGTACCCGGCGCCTTTCAGACACGCACCTCTCAGTCATCGGAGAAAACCAGACGTTTAATTATGGTGACTTTTGTTCGATCATTACGGATAATAAAGGCAACCTTTTCGCTAGATACAATTATAACGCAAGCTGCTCCAACACCTGCACGAATCGCATTTGTCTCCAGCTTGATTTCTCTCTCCTCCTCTAAACTGCCTTTGAATTTCTCCTTCTCTTCTGACCGGAAGATTTAATGTGTTGCAAGAGATAGATTTCACGAAAACGCGTTGTCCCTTCTGTAGCTACATCTGCTCCGACCTATTAAGAAAAGTAAGACATTTTGATACTAATTGCAAATAAATTGTGATGTGTTCACCGAGTAATTGATTTAATGAAGTTCATATGAAACTCCTGAGATTGGCCAAGTGAAAGGCCCCCTGGTGCGTCTATTGTGTAGGAAAGGAAGGTTGGTTTTTCGTTTTCTTTCTTTCTTAAAAAAAAAGAAAAATACACACATATATATGTAAGTGGCGTGGCGGGTGGAGGGGGTGGTGAGGAGGGGGTGGGCACAGATGTTACCTCCGCAGTCGACGCTGTGGCGGGAAGGAGCCTCGGGATCGCGCCTCCCGCCCGCCCGCCCGCCCGCCGAGCCCCGAGTCCGGCCAAACGAAGCGCAGGCGGCCGCGCCCCGACCGGCCCCGGGAGCCCGGGACGCGCCGTTCAGTGTCAGGCACGGCCGCCAGCGTCCTCGGAGTTGCCGAGATCGCACAGGCTATTGCCGCTCGATTCTGTTTCCCCTCTTCCCGAAGTCTCGACGCCGGCCTCTAAGCCACTTTCCCGGCCCAAAGGCCAGAGGCCAGGAGGCTGAGCGAGAAGAGGGGCGGGGGGCCGGCGGCTCCCCGCTCGGCCCTGGCCCCCAGGCCGCAGCCCGGGGCGAGAGCTGCGGTAGCGGGTACAGGCCACCTTCTGCGGCCCGTGGGGGTCGGGTGGGTTCCAGGGTGCGGGGGGGCCCGGGCCCATCCCGCAGCCGAGAATCTGGACAACGCAGCCTCTTTGGGCGCTCACGCCGGCTTTCCTTTTCAAGCCTTTCTAACCAAATTGGCAAGTTAAGGAGCTGGGGCTGGCGGGGTGCGGAGAAACAATCAGAATTTTCTGAACACCTGCTGAGCCACAGTTAGTTCCTTCTAGCCCAGCAGAGGATATCACTGCTCCCCCTTAACAGATGCAGACACTGAGGCCGGAAGGACCCTTGGCAACGACTTGCCAATACTTGTCCCGGCTACTCCTTGCCATCTGCCCAGCCCGGCTCTTCGGGAAGAAAGCAAGTTCGAGAAAAACCCTGCCCAGTTTGCCCTCAGAGTCCTCCAAAAACGTTCTGCTCTGTAACTTAGGCTGGAGGGCGTGGGGGCCAGGGTAGAACCGGCCGCCGGGCCCGGCGCGTGCCTCCGAGTTGGCTGCGCACAGTCGGCGGCTGGAGTTTGCAATTTTTGTTTCGCTTTGTTTTCGAGGAAGCGGAACTCGTCTGAATAATCAAGGCCTGAGCCGAGCTAGCAGCTGGCTCCAAGTTCCTCGGAGTAGCCCGACTGATGAACTTTATCCGAGTTGCTCCCTCCCGGGTCCGGGAGCCGCTCATCCAGGTCCCCGGGCGCTCGGAGGCCCGGGTGAAGCTGGGCGTGGGGGGGCTGGTGGGTGCCGGCTCTGCCTCGCGGGCGTTCGCTGCCCAGACCCGCAAGACCGGCTGTAGGGACGAGGGGTGGCCCTCCCAGCCCCTCCACCCACGTTGGGGCAACTGCGCGGGGACTGGACCGCCCGCGGGGCGCAGGCCGGTTCTCCTCGGAGGTGGCGGCGAATTGAAAACCCGGGAGAAGGCAAATGGTCACCGCTGGGGTCCGATCGAGGCTACGTTCTCTTCCCCAGGGGCCAGACCTAGCGCCGAAACCCCGCGGAGGAACCCGTCCCTCGCTTTCCCCTTGGACATTTCCGACTGGGTTAGCGTCCCAACGCCCGGCCCCGAATGCTCGAGCAGCAAGCGGGACCAGCCTTGGGCCGGGCCGCCAGAAGCGCCACCTTGTCCCCGCGTGGAACTGGGCCCCAAGTGCCCAGCCTGCTCCTTCTGGGGAAGCTCGCTCCCCACGCTTTTGTCCGGGTCCGCCGCTCGCAGGCCCACCCTTTCGGGGGCTCTCGGCCGGCCCCGACCGAAGTACCTCTCCTTTTGTCTCGGCGGAGCCCTTTCCTCGTTATTTTTTTTTTTTTCCGGGACGCAGAAGGATTGTGGGGCAGGGCAGCCGCCCTCGCCCCGGTACGGGGAACCCCAGCTAGCCATCCCTGCCGCAGGCTCATCATTTCTGGGACCCTAGAGGGACTGTCCGGACGTCTGAAGCCCCCTCTCCCATGAGTGGGTGAACTGGGAGCAACTTTCTTCAGCTCAAGGTCACAAGCACACTTTCTGGGGCCGCGAATCCCCTGCCTGCCCCTCCGCCACCATCGGCTTCGGTACAAACGCCGGCCCGGAGACTGGGGTGTCGAGGATGGGGCTGGGAAGTCGGGGGGCCTGGGCCGCAAGGGTCTTCGGGGTTGTGGAGGGACGCGCTGGTTGAGGGGGAAAAAGAAAAGTTAGATTTGAGAGGTTTGGCTGGCCAGGATTGTTTCGGAATGACCTTTTCTCCCCAGTAAGTGGGCACCAGCAGCTGACAATCGCGCACGAGGGGCGTGCAGTCTTTGTGCATATTTTTCACATTCCCGGGGCCAGGACAAGATTGACAGGGGCCTTGAAGGTACGGGAGTCGCGGCATCCCGCCTAGTTGGACTTCGCAGCCCGTGCGCCCCAGGACGAGGCCGCACCCCCGGTCCAGGAGGCCCGCTCCCCGCCCCCGCCGGCTGCAGCGCCCCCTAAGGCCCGGAGGTGGGAGCCGGCGGGCCCCGGGGAGCCCCTGGGGAGGGGGGTGGGTCCGGTTGGGAGGCGGGAAGCCGGGTGCTTGCGGGTCCCGCCTGAGAAGCGGTCACCCGCGGGGGCTTGGCATCTGAAAGTGCGATTTGGGTAGCTGGGAGTGGAGATTTACGATCCCAGAGGACAGAGCGTGAAAGAGGTATCATCATCAGTTCTGACTGAAAGAAAGAAAACATATCTTTAACAAAAAGAAGGACCCTGGCCATTCACCCGCGTTGTTAGGACAACGTGAACTATCCTTGAAATGATTCGTTCCACTGCAAAGGAATTTACATTCAACAGTGAAAACTCTGCCTTTTTTTATTTATTCGAAAAGACTTTTCACTACGGAGAATCGTATGTTCGGTCCTTCTATTTATTTTTCAGCTTTCACGGTGCACTTGTATTAGATCAACAGAGAGCTGCACAACCCACTCATTAAGCGGCCCAGCCGGGGGTTCCAGGGACCCAAAGCTACAGGTAGACGGGGCGGGGGAGACGGTGCTGGGGTTGAGGTCTAGGACCACGCCGGCGCCCTCCAGGCCCAGAGGATGCGGTGAGGGGCAGCGGGTCTGCGGAGTGGGGAGCGTGGCACCTATAAGCCTGACCCGAGCCCAAAGCTAAACGCAGTGACCGGAGATCTCCACCTCTTGGTACAGCACCTGGCAAACTTTACGGTTTCTCGCGAAGAAACTGGACCGAAGTTCCCAGTGACACCCCCACAAAGCTGTTAAAAACTGATCCGCTTGGCCCCGCTTCGCTGGACACAATTCAAGCCGATCTCCACAAATTGGGAAGACACACACTCATCTCTTAGTAGCCTGGGATGTTTGCTCTCACACATATTCCCAGGGCCCACAAATACACGCCCCAACCCCACCCCGGGTCGCCACAGGTCGCCAGATCCAGGAAACCTCTCATCAAAGGAACAAAAGTAGAAAGTTTAGGCGTGCCGCGTCCTGGGGGGTGGGGGTGAGCTGCCCCCGTCTCTAACTGTCCCGGATCGGCTGGGGGTGGCGGCTGGGATAAGCTTCCACCGCCTCCGGAAACCGGGCAGCCGCCACCAACTCTCAGCTTCACCTCACACACACCACCAGCCCACAAACCGGCACTCCCCATCCCACTCCAAACGTGCTCTTTTCTTCCCTCTAGGGCTAAGTTTTTCTCCACAGTAACGGGTGCTGCTAAACTTTTTCTTGATGATCTTTTCCAGCTTCTAATTAAATTGGAGAGAGAAGTTGTATTAGCCATTGTATTCAACAATTTGCCTATCATCTCCTAAGGTATCTTGAGTCACCCCTACACACACACACACACACACACACACAGCCCATACCTTGAATTATTGTCAGCATGAATTCTAGCTGATGCTGAAGCTGAAACTCCAATACTTTGGCCACCTGATGCGAAGAACTGACTCACTGGAAAAGACCCTAATGCTGGAAAAGATTGAAGGTGGGAGGAGAAGGGGACGACAGGATGAGATGGTTGGATGGCATCACCGATGTGATGGACATGAGTTTGAGTAGGCTTGGGGAGCTGGTGATGGACAGGGAAGCCTGGTGTGCTGCAGTCCATGGGGTCTCAAAGAGTTGGACATGACTGAGTGACTGAACTGAACTGAGCTGAATTCTAGCAATTGTCCTTTTTAACTGGGTTTCCGGGTCTCCCTCACTTAGATTCAGAAGCAGTGACCACGGACTGCTTAGCTAGGAATTAAAGGTGGCTGACATTGGCCACTTGTAGCAAAGGTGTGAACTGGGTTGGCGTCTGGGGAAGGCCCTAATTATTCTGTCTCTGCACAAGGCCTTCCAGGGGTTGAATAGGAAGTAGGGTTTTGTTCAGCATTCTTCCTCGTGGATCCTCTTGGATTTATTTCACCCTCTCGGTCTGGTGGTTTCATTTTGCTTCTTTTCCTGCCTCAACCTGAGGTTTATCCTGAGCCATCCCTTGACCTCTCTCTCCCTCTCCTTCTAAAACTCTCTGAAACAGCTTTCCTGTCCTCTCATCCCTGACTCTTCATGGAGAATCTAACTACAGTGAAGTCAGAATCCCAAGCAGAACTCAGGATGTGCCAGTCCCCCAGGTGGTTTGAGAGAATGTGCAGACAATCAAGAGATATAGACCCCTACCCTCCTTCTAGATCTAAGCTTCGTCAGTGAAGTCTGGGCGACTTCCATATGGGTTGGTTTGTTCCTCGGTGGTATCTACACTGCTGCAGGTAGCAAATGCATTCCAGTGTCAACCCTGCACGGTTGCCTTGAAGGTGCCTCTCTTCCTTTCAGGCAGGATGAAAGGGAGAAAGAAAGGATTGGGGGAAAGGAAAGGAAAGGGGAAAGAAAGAAATAAGAAAGGAAGAAAAGAAAGAAGAAAGGAAAGAAGGAAGGGAGAGCAGGAAAGGAGAGGCCCCTATGGAAAACAATTCTGGGAGAGTTCTGGGAGGCCTCCAGCTGAAAAAGCTTGAGTATGAGAGGCTCCCTAGGCAGCTTTGGTGGGGGGAGGGCAGGAGGCGTGTGAGAAAAGTGACACGTCCTAAAGCACGCCCCAGGAGAGCTGGGGATCTAGGAAGGACTCAAAATGTATTTCTAATTACTTTTCATGCTCCCAGGAAAGGGGCCCCTTTTAAGTTCTATTTTAAAAGCTTGTTATTGTGCTGAGTTACAGTCCACATGTTGAAAGCACTGTTTATACATGTGAACTTTTTGTATAGGGTGGAAGGACGGCAAATGCTAGAAATGTACTTTTCTGGCAGGATCTGTAGAAAATCAAAACTTGGCAACCTCTTCAATAATAGTTTTCTCATGACAAGAGCTGATTAGGAGTAACAAAACATTGATTTGACCAAAAATATGTGTGGATTCTTGATAAGAAATGAGGAAACCCTCATTCATGTCTTGTGTTTCTGTATCTCTCATGTAGCTGAGGCTCCAAATGTGCCAGTGTGAATTTTGCAGACATGAGTGCAGAACAGACATTCAGTCAGCAGAGGGCGCACTCGTCACTGTGAAACCCTATTGCCAGATTTGGAGGTGACAATGGTAGCTAGGGGCTTCCCAGATGGCGCTAGTGGTAAAGAACCCGCCTGTCAATGCCGGAGACAAAAGAGATGCGGGTTCGATCCCTGGGCTGGGACGATCCCCGGAGAAGGAAATGACAACCCACTCTGGTATTCTTGCCTGGAGAATCCCATGGACAGAGGAGCCTGGTGGGCTGCAGTCTGCGGGATCAGAAAGAGTCGGACAGGACTGAAGCAACTTAACACTTACCAAATGGTAGGTAGGGGCAAGAATGGTGGATATAATCTCATTGGAATGGGGCTCCAGTGGAGATCTAAAAAATGCGAAAAAATGTCTATTTCTTGAAAGTAGAAACTAAGAGAGCAAGAGAGGACGTGTTGGTATACTTTATAGCCATATGTAGTCCAAAAAGTTAAAGGATCTCAGGACTGGAAAACCGACTTTGAAAATCTTGATTCCTCAGGTGTGAGGTTGAGGTCAGAGTATCCACTGGATAAAGAGCTGACCTTTGCTGTATGTCCATGATACCTTGAAACACTTATGACTTCTCAAAATCAGGAAGCAACTGTAAATGCTGTAAAGATCACTGAATATGACACTGAAAGCCCTTGGTTTTAGTACCTTCCAGTGAGTTCTTAGTCCAGTCACTTCCTGTCTCTGCGTTTCAGTTTCTCCATCCGTAATACAAAGGAGTAGAAGTGGAACTAGATCGCCTCTAAAGTCCCTTCTTGCTCTAACAGGATAGGATCCTGCAAACAAAATGAAATCTGAACCCACTTAGATTTTAATCTTCACATTCTAGGATCCTCAAACCCTGGTTCCAAAAAGATGGTAATATGCAAGCAGGGATGAAGGTAGCAAGCAATGCCGACCACTCTGTGATACTAACTTTTTGCCTTATCCAGCTTGAGAGCTGTTTTGAGGACAACACTTCAGCTTGCATGGTGGAAACAGTAGAAACAAACAGTGGAAACAGCGTTTCCATGGTGGAAACTGTGTTCTTGGGCTGATAGACCCAGACAGCAACTGAGTTGTAAGTAGAAATTGTTGAGGGGAAAAAAAGCCTTGAGACTAGGGCACTGTCCACTATGTGAAGGCTGAGGTCCCGGGGCCAGGCCAGAATGCTTAAGTTTGAGTGGACCCTTAACATTCTCCCGTGCTCAGTCTAGTGACTTTGGGGAACTCTCAGATTCAAGAAGGTCACTGTCATGTCTGTTGACAGATTTGTGTTCCTCAGGGCTTTTTAACCCACAGTGAAATTTTGGTTTTCCTCCAGTGAGTAATTTATATACTGGTGTGAACACCTAAAGCAGTTGCTTGAATTGGATTTTCTTGTTTCTGTCTAAAGCAGATAGTAGATTGGTTAACACAAAGAGCAGGGCCACTGCTAGTTTTGTTATTCCACTCAACTGGCATAAAGTTTCTAAAACTGATGACAAAGTCATTGCAACTGTGGATGTACACTTGTTCACTTGCCGAGTAGCTTAGACTGTGTTGTGAATAGGCAAAATCATGACATACTTAAAGGTCTAAGGTCGACTCTGTTCTGGAACCTGCCTTTCTCTGTCCCCTCGACTTCGCTTCTCAGCTTTATGTGGCCAAGCTGTGGACTCATAAGCTCCATAGACTCTGAAGCTCCAGGCAGATTAAGCTGGCATTCAGCAGAGTTAGGTGTTTGGGAGCAGGTTCTGACATTCACTCTAGGCCTGCCCCGTCCAGCACTGTGGTCACTAGCCATATGGGCACTTGAAATGTAGCTAGCCCAAATTGAGGTGTGCTGTAAGCAGGGAATGCACACTAGATTTTAAAGACTTGGTTACAAAAAAAAGAATGCTAAATATCTCATTAATAATTTTCATATTTTACATGTGGAAATGATTCTGGGTTAAATACATTACTAAAATAATTTCAGCTGTGCTTTTTTCCCCACTTTTTAAATAGGGCTACCAGAAAGTAAAAATTACACACATGGTTCATAATTGTGCCTCAGATTCCAGCTCTGTTGGGTAGCACTCCCTAGACAGTTGGCTAGGGGCTCCTACATACCTAGTCTGTGTCCAGCAGTAGAATAGACCCTGTTTCCTTGCTGATGCATCTC